CTCTTCCGATTCCGATTTTGTTTACTCGCACAACTAACTAACTAACTTTACCAAATCGATTACTTTCTGTCCCCTTCCCTCGCTAATATAAGCTTCGATTCAGAGTTTCAATTTGTTTTCTCAAATGCTGTTTCATAGCGAGCCAACCACAATCAAATGCGCTCTGGTTCCTTAGTTAGTTAGTTTAGGATAGCATTGATTGTGATTTCTCGAATGAAGTTTCGTTTTCCTTGATTTGAATCGAGCAAGGAAATAGGGATTTCAGGCCTTGTTTAGATAAACTTAACTTATAGGAGAAGAAAATAAGATGGAAAAATGCATTGAGATTCTCAGTAAGCTAAAATTAACTTATCCACCTTAACTTCGTGATGTTAAGTGAAAAGAGCTTCCATTAAAATTAAGTGCATAAGTTGATTTTAGCTTATGCAAGAAGATCTGTTCCTTATACTTTCCTATTTTCTTTTCCTTTAAGTAGCTTTTTTTGTTTGATTGTTGTTCCTTTTGTGTCCGGAGAGTAGATTCCTTGTTATCTACTTTTGTACTCCTTTACTATCTTCAATTCTTATAACTTGTCCTGTTTCTCCTCAAAATAAGTATGTGCTTATGCATCTGCATTTATTTATACTGATCAAGATTCTTGGATTGTTAACTCTTTTGGAAAATTACTAGTTCTTTACTGGTTCTATCAAGATGATTCCTTGCTGTAATTTATTTATTTTCCATGGGACAGTTATATTCTCTTGAAGAAACAACTGATGAGTTAAAGGATCGGTGCCAGCAACTATATAAAGGGTGTAAGAAGTTTATGTAAGTGCTTAATGGCATTCCTATATAGAGTATCAGATCTATTTTTTGTATTTACTAAGTCAATTCTAGATTTTGATGCTATATCTTTATTTGTGAATTTTTTCTTGAATACAGCAGAAAAAGTGTAGGGCTGCTTTTTCTCCTGTGTTGTTGATCACATATGCTAAGAAATTAGACAGATCTGTTTCATTTGTGAGCTGTTTTGGCTCACCATTATCTTTTAATTATTCTTTTAGGAGAATTTCTTATCCTACTCCTAGTTGTTCTTTCTCTAGTTTTTTTTTCCCTAATAGTTTTCTTCCATAACTTTTTCAATGTGGTTTTTGAAACAATGAAGTTGGTTGTTCATTAATTAAATGCAATTTTTTTCAATCCAAATTGATATTAATGTTATCAAACTTGAACATTAAGTGGTATATGTGGAAAATCTAACTATTAATGTTCATCAAGTTTAGTTAAACGAAAAGAAGAAAGAGTTAGGTCTTTTGAATAATGATATTGGTTTTTTCATCTAATCATAACTCTGGTTGGTTATTGATTGATAAATGTGGTGGCTAAATGATGTGGATTTAAATGTAGAAGCATCATGTTTTGCTTGAAAATTTCAACAATCAAATTTGCCAAACAAACTATTTGTTGGAATCACACCAGATGGAAGTTATTAATTCTTTATTCTGTATCTCCTCAGGACAGCTTTGGGGGATGCATATAATGGAGAAATTGCCTTTGCTGATTCATTGGAAATATTTGGTGGTGGCCAAGATGACCCTGTCAGTGTATCAATTGGAGGTTGTTGAAATTTATTTCATATATTGTTTTACTTCCTCTTCTATTCAAGTAAACAAACCCAACAGGTGCTTCTCTTATGAAGCACAAACTCTGACATGGATACTGGACACAACTGTGTCAAATGAAATTAAATATAATTTCCATAACAGAAAATCTAAAATAATTATCAAGATTTATATATTCTTCTATCTACACCTCTCTATGATAATGAACCTCCTAGAAACATACTGAGTGACTTTATTTTTTAATATTTTATGTTACATTTTAGGCTGACTTTTATGAATGTTTAATAAAAAATAGTTACACTAGTGTCCTTGAAGTATCCAACTATCCATGCATAAGGAGGTGTCAGTGTTGGCTCCAGTGTCTGAGTCTGAGCTAATGAAAAATAATTTTTTAAAAGGAAACTTATTCAGGGTTATGTGACATGTTATCGTACAAGTGTCTAATAGGTGTTGATGTCAGAAATGTGTTAGACACTTTCACCTCAAGCAAGAGGAGTGTTCATGTTTTATAAGCAAAATAACTATATTTTTGTGCACTACTAAATGTGTCAGCAACTTATTGTTTTAATTTCTTTTTCTTCAACTTATAAGAGGTTTTAACCTCACAGATGACAGACCTTTACCCTGATTTATAAATTTTTAATAAATGGAATTTTATCTAGTTCTGGGCCACTCTTTTCCTTTCACCTATTTTATAATTGTATAGCAGCTTTTACCATGAAACTTTCTCAAGGAAAGCTTTGTCACCACTCAAACTCTACATAAACTGTTATCATGCCTGATGATAATATAATTTGTGGGATACCTTACATCATGATGACAGCACTGACCATTACTAAAAGTAAGGTGTATTTTTCTTTCTAACTTTTTTTTGTAGGGCCTGTCATATCTAAGTTTATTAACACATTGCGTGAGCTAGCTACTTTTAAAGAGCTTCTTCGGTCACAGGTGAGTCCTTGCAAAATGCTGCACTTTTTCCTTGGAGTTTTAATAGTGACTATAAGACTTGCCTTGCTTGTTTTATCTTGAAGGCAATGATTTTTTTGTCTGTTCATTCACCTAGCTCAAATTTGCTAAAACATACATAAAAACAACCTCTTGATTTCTGTCACCTTAAACTGAATAACAATAAGTTTGACAGGATATAAGTTGTTTTAATGTATTTTGTGCCCATTTTCTGATTTGTGTCGAACTTCAAAGATCTTGTAAAGATTGTGTAGAATGTAGATCTTACACGTATAAAATGATAATTTATGACTTTTCTCTTTTTCTCCATCTTACTTTGTTGTGTCTATGAATTGTGTCATGTCCAAAGCGGGCCCATCTTTAAGAAACAAAAAATAAGAAATTTAGTTGTCTATTCCAGTATTCCTCTAAAACTCCAGAAAAATCAAATACTATTTCAACAACTGTTTCCTTATTTTGAAAAGTTGAAGTAGTGTGTAAGTGACGACTAAACCTCTAGAAGTTCCCAATTAACCCTTTTTCTCAAAGAAGTAAAGTCATGAAGGTTCTAACTTTGTTTTTCATAAAATCAAACTATAGTTGAAAATTTCTTCCTTGTTTAAGTTTTTCTTTTCATGAATCTTTGCTGGTTGCACCACATCTGTCGGGTTGTATTATACTAAAGGAGTAAAGAGAAAGAAAAAATAAATAGCGACACTTATGCACTTATCTATGATTGGCACAACCTCCAAAGCCATCTTACTCATGTTTTGTTGACATAGATTTTTTAATGAGTAATTACATGGTGGATTTCTTCTATAGGTAGAGCATGTGTTGATTGACCGGCTGACAGAGTTTATGAATGTTGATCTGCAAGATGCAAAGGTATTTTTTTTTTACTTTAGGGTTAATGTTTCTTTTATAGAAGTTCTATGTCACACTCACACACATTAAAACTTACTTTCATGTGGTTTTGATAAAGCTTTATCTGGTACATTTACTTCACAGATGACATTTTTTTTAATACATACCTCATCTGTTACATTTACTTCATGCTTGTTTGTATCAGGATTCTCGCCGCCGCTTTGACAAAGCTGTGCATTCTTATGATCAGGTATTGAGAAAATAAAAAAATTATTTTCAAACTTGGTTATGATTTAAAAAGAAATCTATGTATATGAAAATATAATCAGTAATTTTGGTAAATCAAATTGGTGTTCATAAGCTAATGCTTTAATTCTCCATGTGACGTTTAGATATTCTTACTACAGTTGAGTCCTTCTGTTGTACATCATTACATTGTCAAAATGATAATTCATTTCCTTTTGTGATGCCTAAATATTCTTTTTATGATGTCTGTTTTAGTTATTCATCCTATATATAGCTCCCTTTTCTTTTCCTTGAAGTCATTTAGTTATTTATTGACTTTTAGGATTCCTCAAAAGTGAGTTGTGTGGATGTTTTTTGTCATTTGATTTTGATGATTAAACTTGTCTTGTTTGTATTGCTTCATAAGAATTTTGGCTTTTAAGATAATTGACCATTATTTATGTGGACTTATTTTTGCAATTATTTCTTAAGCTATTTGTTTAATTTATCTATTGACTGAACAGTTGTTTATGGTAAATTATGCTTGGGTGAAAACCCTAGTTAATTCCAGCAGGGGTAGACTCCTTAATGTTTGTGGTGATAAAAATGTTTTAGAATGTACATCTAACTGTTACTTTACAATCTAAGTGCTCATATAAGCATTTTGGTAAGGCTTGCTTAATTTCACAGTGGCTTAAGTGCTGATTTAAATCATCTAGCGAAGTTGTATAAAGGCACTCTCAATTTGCACTCGAATGCTTCTTTTGGAAGCAGTAATTTGCTTCCATCCTTGATTTATGCATCGTATGTTTTGTGCATATTTGGAGTATATTTAAACCAAAGTACCCAATTTCTGAGAATTACTATTAATTATGATTTCTAACATATTTGTGTATCCCTTTAATCCAGTCACGAGAAAAGTTTGTCTCTTTGAAGAAGAATACACCGCAAGATGTTGTTTCTGAATTAGAAGAGGTTTGCCCTATCTATTTGTATTTGATTAGTAGCTTCTCAAAAGTTCTAGTCTTGTATGAGATTTCTCTCAAGTCTTAACTTTCTTGTAACGTATCATGATTTCAGATTACGGTGAAAAAATTGTCTTGTGACTTTAGAAGAGACAACTTTAATAAGATATTACTATGATAATATCATGTGAAACTTACAATAGCCAATTGGTCTTAGTTACTGCCCTGTCATCGAGATTCGAGAGGAATTTCATAACCCATGGACTCTAAATGGGTCAATTTTGAGTCTATGGCAATTGTGTTAATGCCATTATGCCACCACATCCTGTGATTAGCATCCTTTCTGAATTTGGAAGGAATTCCAAAAGTCTGTGACTCTGATAGAAATCCTGAACCACTTAGGCCCAAACCCAAAATAACTACAGTTTATATTAAGAAAAAGACAATGGGCATCATTGGGGACCATAACAAAATGGGAGATAATGGAAGAATTCTTCCTTGTCTAACAGCTTAGTTGGCAAGGTGATTTGGTTGTATGGGGGGGGGGGGGGGACGGGGGAGGC